AAAGCCATGTCTAACTTTAAGCCCTGAAGTAGGCAGTGGCTTCCTTATTGTCAACATAAAAATACCTACAAATAAACCTTAATTTGTAATGAGTTTAGTAGATACTGCTAAGAAAGTGCAAGTTCCATTCTTTCTTTTCTTGCCACCTTGCAAATGATTAGTAACCTAAAAATGTAATAATTAAAAATGGATAATAAGTGTTCACAAGGCAAGTCTAACAGAACCTAGTTCTGTATACGCAATCTATGTACATACACACACAATATAAATCTATCCTCAAACACATCCTTAAACATGTGCTCAGAACTTTGAGACCCTTGATCACTCCTATGGTCTACAGATCTGTGGAATCCCAGATTTAATAAAAAGATCTTGTCCATCCTGCTGTATCTGACAAATTAAACTCAAGCCATACCTTTCTCAGGTGTCTGGAACAACTGCAGCCTTACCACCAGGTGACGTTTTTTGGACATGAACCCATTGTGAGGAAAGGAAACCTTGATCCCATCGACATAACCATAGCACAGAGATCATCCAATAAAAAGGTAAAGGCAGAGAGAGATGATAGGGAAGAGGTGTGGACGATTAACCCCTCTTTGGATCTTAGTCCATGCTGGAGCTGTTCAGCGCTTTTAGGACAGACCTTGCTGGAGTTCGGGGCTTCTGCATAGCCAGTCTTGCCCTTTGTGGAGGAGAAGTGGGGGGTGGGTCATTGTAGCCTGGGCAGTTGGGAAACTGCTACAACTTGGCCCAGGACTCTGGTGTAGTTCTGTGCCAACGAGCACCGGCTGTCACTCAATCCTGCAGGTTAGAACTCTAAGGATTAGCGTGCATTAAAGATGTTAAAATTCTTAACACAGCCCTGGCATAGAAATTATCAAGCGTATCACATTGTTTAAGTGCAAACAAATGATTGTTTGTGGGGGGAATTCTTTGATATTTTGCCTCCAGCTGTGCTTTTAGAGTGAGTGTGTGTATATATGTAAGTGGGGGGGGGGATATAAATTAGAACAGATTGTATTGAATCGATCGGAAATTTTGTATACGAGCCTATGATGTGACACTAATGGGGAAACACTTAATGCCCAGTTCTAATCAGAAAAGCAGGACAGGGTCATAAACTGCTGTTCTTACATAGGTGGTGTTAGATTTTCACTTTGTGGATTATTTTCTTGTGACAATGGCTAAAATCCACAGGTGACCATTATTAAGAATCTTGAACTGTATGGCCTAGACCCGCAATTAGTTGCCAACACTCTCCAGCAAAGAGTACAGGCCAGCGCCACTATTAACACACTACCTGGGGCAAAGGACAGAGTCCAGGTCCAGATCCAAGGCAACCAAATCAACCATCTTGCCAAGTTGCTGCTTGGTAAGTTTGAGCCGACATGGACGGTGTCAGTTATAAAAGGTAAATGTTTTGATTATAAAACCTAGCTCTGGGATATACTTAAGTTGGATTCTTGGTTATATTGCAGAGGAATACCAGCTACATCGGAAATATATTCAAGGGCTGGAGAAGGCTCCAAAGCTTAGCCGGAAGAAGTAAATATGTCTAGTGTAAGAAGTATTCAAATCTTATTATTTATAACCAGTTCTGCCTACAGTTGAGGGGTGAAATTCTGCTCCCATTTAAGTCAATGGGAGTTTTGCTGTTGACTTTCATGAGCCCAGGATTTCATCCAAAGAATGTAATTGCTTTAGCTGTTCAAAGTTTTTAAAATAAAAATCTCAAATGTTGTCTTCTTCCAGATATTTTACTAAAGCGTTCCAATGGGTTACCAAATTGCTGGCTTGTAAGCTAATCTTTAACATGCTTTTTTTTTGGTTAATGAAAGCAGTCTAACAACTAAACAAAGCCTATTCCAGCACATCATGGCCTAGAATTCATACCTTTTGTAGTTTAAAAACGTTTTCAGTTGTCCACATCCCTTCCCCCCCCCCCCTTATTGAGCTTTGACAGTGTAATAGACCACATTGGACCCCAGTCCTGCACCTAATTGCAGAATTTGGTGTAAATACAAAAGGGGACTGTTTATTTTAAGGCTCTTGTCTTGCAATGAGCTTCATAGTCTTTTATAAACTGCTGACTTCAATAAGGGAAAAGCTTTAACATGTTTTATAAACACTAATGACCTTACACTCAGATCCCCTTTAAACACTGAACACCACACGAGGGCACCAGACAACTTTAAATAGAACAGACACAATTCTTCTTAATCGTCGACTGTTTTATTATCTCTCTCTTACACTGTTTGCATCTGAACCAAGTTTCAGAACTTTCATAAAAGCTGAGTGACTTTTAAAAAATACCACAGAATTAACAGGGAGTAGTAAAAAATAAATTACAGCATTGCAAAAATGCATTTCACTGTGCCACAGAAGCTTTACTATTCCATTCTATACATAGTTTTTACATGTTGTACAGCTGACAAAAATTTCACACGTACACTAGGCAACACAATACTAACCAAAGGCACTGCCAGCAGTATTTTGCGTATCTGAAGGAAGGGGGCCTTTGCTAATGTCTAAAGCTTGTGCCTTTGGCACAGGTCACTTGACTGTGCTTTGCTTCAGAGTTTCAAGGTTTTTCCTCTTTAAATGCCCCCTAGCCAACAAAAACAAAAACAGCCCTCCCTCTTTGCAGGAGGTTTTCAGCAGCATTCACCGTAATTGCATAAGAAGCCATGCCTTCTACAAAACCTTAAAGACATGCTGGGGGTCCAGAGTGTGGGATGGTCACTAAAGAAAAAAAAAAATCAGTAAAAACACCCATAACACTTCTAGCCAGCGAGCTGAAATTTAAAAAAATCTGGATCTTGCTTCTCAGAACCAATGACATTTTACAGTGTGCTGCTTCTTTCTGCTCAGTCAATATTTGTACAGAATGCTTTCAAGGTCTAAAGCACTAAGGGCTAATTACTTACTGACTTCACAAGTACACTGTGAGGTCAATAAGTATTCTCCCCATTTTACAAGTGGGCAAACACCCACAAAGCCTGTGATTACCTGAGGCTGTCTCTGCTACCTCACGGTTGTTAAAGGTCACCTGGGGAAGGAATACAGTACAACTAGGTGCCTTTCCCTGCCCTGCAGCCCTATTATCAAACCTGTCTGTGCTACTAGTTAAAACATAAGCTACCAGCTGTGACACAAAGTGGCGTGTCTACACGGTGGCAGGCTTGCTAAACGGTGCAGTCACTTTCTCCTGTTTAAAACATGCTTAGATATAAAACTGGAAAAAGACAAAACAAGCATATAGTCACCTTGGGGGGAAACTGACAATTCCTTCCTCCTCGCCCCACAAAATCAGCTTCATCCCTACAGTACTTCAGAGAACGGGCAGAGGGAAAAAGTGACTGAGGCCTCTCAGAAAAGCCCTTCCCAACCGATGATCCTCATTAGCTTTACAGTAAAGATTTTACACTTAAAAAAAGGCACTGAGGTAAATCTGACTCTTAAAATTGCCTTCTGTCATCACTTTGCATCTAGTGGACCCAGACCTCTGAAGTGGAATCATTTCACCATATAACAAGTTTCAAGGGATGCTTTCAACTCAGGTAGTCAGTTTAAAGTCATTTCAGGTGTTCCAGCTGCACCTACCCCTTTTCATGGCTTTGCCATCAGGTTTCCTTCCTTTTCACACATCCCTTTGTTGCTGTGCGAAGGATCTATGCAGATAAGGGAAAGAGTGAAACCGACTACACACAAAGTGCTTAATCCGATGCATTAAGAGGAAACACTGGAAAAATAACCTGTTAAAAGTAACACCTTAGATTAAAGCTTTCCAGACAGAAGTGTAATTTTTAAGTTGGCGTCCTTTAACATGGGGAACCCTACACCAGCCACATGGAGGTGTGTGTAACCAGGAGCTAGGACTGGATTAATAGCAGTAACTGTGTCTCCAACTGCAGCAATATCTATCTGTAAAAGGCTAAGCTGTTGCTCTGAGAAAGAATAGGGAGTAATGACATTCTTGTTGCATTCTCCCAGCTCTAAGCACCACACGTGGCGGGGGGGTAGTCATACACGGAACCTAGCAGCCTCTCGTCTACGTGCAGAAGGAAGACAGTGGGAGGATGTGGAGGCTCTGTGGGTGGTTGGGTGAGGGTGCAAGGACAAGAGGTGAGAGGATAACGGGAGACAAGCTGCAGGAGGCTGGGCAGTTGCTGTTCTTCTGCATGGCTGGAGATTGTGCTCCAGTTTTCAAGGGTTCTGAACTGAGCCATCATCCATGTTCCCACTTCAACCATCTTGCATGTAAAAAGAGTAAATCTGTAAAACATTGGTCCCTGAGTAGGAAACTGGCAATACACAGAATAGCCGCATTCAGCATTAGGGAACATTTGCTCCCATGCGGAGACTGGCTGACCAAATAATCCTACTTTCACACTCAGCCTACTTTATCTTTTAAAAAAAATTCCCTAGAATGAAGGTTATCTAAAATCCCAATAAAACCTACTGGAAAGACTACGGTGGACTTGGAGCCTTCTTGGCATCTGACTTATGTTTCAGTAGATATCTTAGAATTGTGCAACAATCTGTTTTGGCATCAACGAGAGCTGCAACGTGCACATGATCTGGTGCAACCAACCCCTGTTGCTTTATCTGCTGCTTCCTGTGGCGCCACCTAACTTATGAAATGACGGAACTACACAACACAGTCACACGCAAGGCAGCCGCAGCATCTTAAAACAAAGCCAGCAGGCAAGTTGGTGGGAGGAGGGTGAAAGAAATGCAGTTCTATCCTGCCCAACACAATAACCCAGTAGATATTCCTATTTATTTAACATTCAGCCGTTGCCATGAAGTTTCTCTGCTCGGCGACTCAATGCAACAACTGAAAGCTAAGCAGCAACTCTATTTGGTTTATCAAGGGCCTGCAGATTTAAATCGAGGCTTTCCATTCTTTACTGACGGGCTGTGATCCAGCGATAATGTCTGAGAGAAAAGAAATGCAACGCTTGTCTCGTTGTGGGGCGCGTCATTCCTCAGACAGAGGAACAGGGAGAAAGGGACAGACAAATCTGAGGTGTCCTGAGAAGTCTCTTCTTTTAAAAAATATCTAGTTTAGTCTGGTACTATATGTGCTTTGTGTTTGGTTATCCAGGTTTTCCTCCTGCTTCTTTCAAAGTCTCCTCCAGTCTTTGTTTAAACTTGCTGTACTTCTTTTGTACTTGCTGAATTTTGTCTTTTTCCTCTCTGTCCAGTATCATTAAGAAATTTTGTAGCTCTGGGATAGAGAATGCATCCCACTGCAAAGAAAGCAAAACCAAAGTGAGATGAGCAGACAGAATACCACCTCCCCTCTGCTTGCCTGTAACATACACACTGTGGTGTATTGTGCAGCTGAGTGCTCATCTTGAAAATCAGAGGAAAAGACACGTGCTACCTAGCAAAGTCAGTTAACTAGATCTTTCTGTATATAGAAATCTAACTAACTGGCCTTGCAACTAGACTCTGCAAGTATCTTTCCCCTGATAGAGTGGGTCAGGAATTTTTCAAACCAAACATTTTAATCAAAACCAAAACTGTGGGAAAGGGGCAGTTTAGACAAAATGAAAAATTCCAATTTTCCAGTAATGCATGTCAGGAAGTATCCCTGAGAAATACTGACAGCTAGGTTTGGAATTTAGATACATTTAATCCTGCTTTTTTGATCTCTCCTTGGGGCAGGACTGCTCTCTTGTGGTTAGAATCTGAACTACTTGACTGTGTGTCAATGCCCTATACTCCTTAGCAGCTGACAGTCCTGAGGTTTAGCTGAACACTCTCTGAAGTTCTAAGTTGCTGTACTGTGTGGCATATGAAGCCGTAGGAGGCTGTAGGTTTATTATACAGCATAGCATAGGCCTCTATTTTAAAATCGGTGGATTAGCTATGGCTCCATTTAGCTAATCTACTCTGAGGATTAACTGTAGAACTGCATTGCTTAGTTCTATAAACAAACAAATGGATTATGGTGTAAAAACATCAAACAGGCCACAGCATTTTTTACAGATCAGGTTTTTAAAAAACACAAAGTTTTCTGCACTAAACTGATTGGCTAAAAGGTTCTGAAAAACACAAGCTAAGCTCAAGGAATCCTTTGAGATGCTTTAATATTTATTCTTAAGTGGAAGGTTGGTGTCTAATTCAGTGTTTTGGATGATCAAACCGTAACACAAGGAAAGTAAACTTGCTCCCTCTTGTCCCCCGGCAAAAAAAAAAAAAAAAAAAAAAATCAAGTTGTGTTTCTACTGCAGTAAGTCTCACAGGTTTGTTTAACAAGGCCATGTGTTTTTGTAAAGCTTAACATTGGTGTGAGAGCCAAGGGAAAGACTCCCAGACATACCTCAACTTCCCCTGTTTCATTTTCCTTCAGCACAAAACTGAGAACATCTGTGTCAGGTCCAGCCAGCAGCCGGAGATACAAGGGGTATTCTGTTAGAGAGAGCTTCTGGAAGAGAACTGCAGGGAGGAAGAGAGAGAGATTCTTTAGGATCAAGGGCAGGAAGATGCTCAAGAAGTTACTGAACAAACACAGCATAGGTTCTAAGGCATCTTGAGCTGGACTTTATTATTAAGAGTCACTACAGGACATACCATCTCCAGCAAAGGTGTTTATAAAGGGCGAGGCTGCGCAGACTAGTGCTTAAAGCAAATGATTGAAAGTCGCAACCCCTAGATACTAGGTCTGCTGCTGATTAGCTATGTGAGGTTGAGTAAAAGTTCTGTCCAGATTAAGGAAATTAGAATCAGTGTAGATACAGACACCTGCCAGGGACAGACTTCACCAGTGCAGCTGAATCTGGTCACACATCCAGGTTAGGTGGTGTAAGGCCGCCACCGCCCCCACCTTCAAGCTGAATGTGCTGTGAAGCTTAATTAACACTCTTCATGGGCAACATACTCAGCACTGGGTGTCTGAAGTGAGGCCCCCAAAAGCCCTATTTAGGTGCCTAGGCAAGTGGCCTCGTTTTCCAAAGGACTGAAGATCCTGCAGTTCTATCAATGTCAACAGGAGCTGCAGGGGGCTCTGCCCTCTTTAAAAATCAGGCCACTTGTTTAGGCTACTACATTAGGATTTAGAAGCTTAATGTTATGCACCCAGTTTAGAAAGCCTTGGCCCAAGGGCTGTGAGACCCTTCAATGAAAGGATCTATATAAACACAAACTATCAGCAGGGAAGAGTCCACCCCACTGGCCAACGCAACCAGGCACAGGTAGACTGGAAGTTGCTTAGTGTGATATACATAAATTCATTGAGTTGGCCCCCATCCCAAACCCACCTTCCAATCTGTCCCACCCCAAAACTATGCTGTTTAGCCCCCTTTGGGGTGTGTGTGTGTGGGGGGGGGAGATTTTACCAGACAAAGGGGCAGCAATACACCCAAATCCCCTGGAATTTCAGTGGGAACAGGGCACCTAATTCCCTCACATGCTTTTGAAATTCCCACCCACAGTCTCCTACACTGTTTTGCACCAAGACTGTCTTGCCATGACAGTTTATAGTGCCAAAGTGGTTCAGCTTCCTGTGATAGTGTTTCTGTTGGATCGCTAATGGTGGATTTTTTTGGGGGGGTGGGACATTAGGGTAGTGGGAGTTGGACAGGGAAGAGGCAGATGACAATTATGAACCATGGCACTAGAGGAGGAAAAGAGAAAGCCGGACAAGTCCATTCACAGCAGCTGCACTCCTTGCCAATTTATAAATACATTTTTAATGTAAATATCTTGTTTATAAGGATGAGTGGGTCATGATGATTCTGATAAGGTTAAAACTCCAGAAGTCTATATGAGTCAATTAGAATGTCAATAATATTTTGCAAGTACCAAAGATAAGGCACTGTCAGAGATCAGTGTTGATACACAGAAGCTAAATAAATGAGGAGAGGGGAAATTCTGGCCAGGGACACTAGGGTACACACTGTTTGGAAAAGTGCTGTGCGTGAATAGCAGAGCGCCCAGGGCTGACAGGACCACGTGGGAAAGACTGAATTCCATGTAGGTGGGTGTCCATCTCAAAGGGCTGAGTCACCTTGAGGAGATTTTGAGCCTCCACGGTATCAAAATTTAGTACATGATATTTTTAAAGCACACAGCAGTCTGCTATAACTGAACTGAAAGGCCTGTGTTATAAATGACTAATTTCCATTGACTTCACTAGGAGTTGTCTCCACCTATGGCAACAACTCAATTTAGCTCAGGCTATAGGGGGCTCACAAGCTAGGTACACCCAGGCACTCATGCCAGACAGTAAGTAGCATCTCCTAGCTTCTGTTACAACAGCTTGTATTCCACAAAGGTGGCCATATTGGCATCTCAGCTCTGACACAAGACCCTGTAACTTAAGCAGGAGCTACTTGTGGTGCTGGAAATTAGATCTTGTGTATGCACCAGTGAACATTACTTGTTTAGCGATGAAACTATGACTCTTGCCTTAGCCAACGGGGGCTGGCCCTGAAGCAGAATAAGGCAGTAGGGTGATATTTTTACTACACAGCGGGAAGGCAAATATTGCCCAGGGATTTAGTATGCTGCAGAACAGTAATTAAACCTTCCTTAGGTTCCTAAATAGCCCCCCTCTCTGTAATATCTGAGCACTTTACCATCTTCAATGTATTCATCCTCCCAACACCCGGGAGGCTGCAAAGCGTTCTGTCCTGTAATCTCTATATAGCTCCTTTCACCCTGAACACAGCACAGCAAGTAAGATTATGTACCGACTCTACGCAGCCCCTGCTGCAAGGTGGCAAGTGTGTACCTGGTCACAGAATTGCTCCACCCAGCTTAGGACAGGGAGTGACTTATCCAACAATTGCAGGGGGAATTTGTTAGGCATATTTGATGAGCTAAATTAGATTTGGGCCAGGCCACCCCTAACTCCTGCAACAAGTGACCACAAGAAGTCAGCATCGGTGTGGTGGAAGGCCACATATACACGGGTTGGCTATTATAGCTCTTCCCTGATGAATGCATTAGTAAGAACACCGCACAGCAAAGCACATCTTCCCTTGGGAAAGCATTGCCTCTGACAGCTCTGCTATTAGGAATGACACTTATGAATGAGAGGAAAGATGGCTTTATGGTTTAGGCACTGGATTGGGACTCCACGGATTTAGGTTCATTGCCCAGGTTTGCCACTGACTCCCTCTGTGAGCTTGGTCAAGTCACTTGATCTTTCTGGTCCTCAGTTCCCCACCTAATATAATATAAATATATGGAGATATACCTATCTCATAGAACTGGAAGGGACCTTGAAAGGTCATCAAGTCCAGTCCCCTGCCTTCACTAGCAGGACCAATTTTTTTGCCCCAGATCCCTAAATGGTCCCCTCAAGGATTGAACTCTCAACGCTGGGTTTAGCTATCCCTCCCCACACCTGTAAGACTATCGTCCCTTTGTTGGTCTTTGGAGCAGGGGCTGTCTGTATGTGCAGCACCTTGCTCAGTTAAGGCCTCTACTGTAACGCAAATTACCATCTTACCAACTGTGGCAGAGAGGGGAAGCATCTGGGAATTCCCCTCTCTGCACTGAGCCCCCATGGGACTGGTTGCTCAGAAGGGTGTGAACTCACCTTGCCCATCTCTCTGCATCGACTTGAAAAGTGCAAACTTCTGAGGGTTGTCCACCACCATGAACTTCTTGAGGAGCCCCTGGATCACCTCGCTGACGGTGGTCGTGCTGCTGATGTGCAGCTGCTTGACGGCATCCAGCGGCAAGTAGAAGGACGTTCTCTTGTCCGTCATATCAGCCAGATTCACCTCCTTGAGGGCATCGTAGATCGACTGTGGCCGAATCCCTGCTGGCACCGTCACAGGCCGGCGCAGTTTCAAGTGCACTTTAATGAAGCCCGTGTAAGTGCCATCCTCATTCTAAGGCAGAGGAGATAACGACAGTCAAGTTTCAATGAGCTCTCATGGGGCAAGACAGGTTTTCAGCTAATGCCAGTATTCCCCACCCCCAGCTGAAGGGGGTTTTGCAGTACTTAACCCAGTGGTAGACACGGTGAGCTGACTTTCTATAGTGCTTGAAACTTTCCTATTAATAATGTAAAAGGAACTAGCAATTTAGGTTTAGTCACTACAGAATTCTTCCTGTTCCTTACTATTCAAGAATGCCCTAGGATTCTTCCCCGCCCCTTGGCTGTCTCATCCTGTGTAAACTGTTCCTGCTACAGAGAAGAGTTATGGAAACTAACTGACATTAAATACCGTTTGTGCCTGCAATTACACTTCTGTCTCCTTTAACTGGAGATGGCTTTAGAGAGAACGTATAAGCATCTGAACTAGGATTTCCGGGGGTTGAGCTGGATATGCAGGCTGTTTTCATAAGGTTTTAGCTCCAAATAGTTGAAATCTTGCAGCTCTCCATCTTAAATGATGGAAATTTCATGAGATTTTCACCATCCTGGGCCAAATCTGGAGATTAAGACCCTTTACACAGACTATATGAGACATCTAACCCTAGTTAAGCATGGACAACACTGTGGGTGCCAGGCTGTAACAAACTCTAAATTATGAGAACCTCTGGAACGGATTACTCAGGTACTGCTTCACAGCTGTCAGTTGGGGCTGACGTGAGTTGCTACAGAGTCCCAGGACTGCACAGGTTACAGGCAAAAGATGGCCCATTTGCCTTAAAAGAAAATGATCCAAGAATAAATAACTCCTTGGGAACCCAGGCTACTCCAATGTTAATTCATGGATCACAAAAGTTAGGAGATGGAAAAAGATCCCGTTGATGACTCCCTGGCTACGGTAAGGGGCTCCTGCAGTCGTTTTTGTTCACTTCAGTCGTAAGTGATGTCTGTTTAAAGACAACTTGGGGCTTGTTTTCACAAACTGACAAGCTACCGGAAAACCATAAACAACTGAACTCTGGTCTCTGAAATTGTAAAATCTCCATTATTTCTGTTTTTAAAACCTCCTTCGCTCTGATCTATAAGAACTTGTGAAATTTGCTCCTTTTGTTAAATCTCCTTTGTGAACACAGCCATTCTCTTGGCCTCCCAAGACTTACCAACAGGGCTTGGTTTACATGGTTGTTTTTTCCAAGCAGTAAACAAGGCTGCAATCAATGGCTGGAACTGTAAGCGAATTACTAGGGGTCCCACAACTTTGTTTAAAAGTTTGACTTTGGTGGAACAGAATGGCACATCTGTTTCCCCAAGGGCTCGATGTCACCAAATAGGCTGTGTAACAGCTGCTGAACTGCAGTGATGCAGCTTTCTAGTTAGATCAGGCTGTATTGTTCTTGCTATGTGTGGCAAGTCATTGGCTGGACATCGAAATTATTCTGAAAATTTCCCCACTGGAAAAAAAAAATAATAATAGAACCATCGTCTGAACTGTGTGGTGGCTCACGCCAAACGGACCCGGGTACAAATAAGGCTGGTGAATAAGCACTTTAGGTGCTGAAATGAGTGACAGCCCTCGAGTCCGAAGCCCTGTGTTATCCGTAGGACAGACCAGGCCTGATTCAAAGCCCACTGACGTTAATGGGAATCTTTCCACCGGTATAGTGGGCTTTTGGATCAGGCCTGGACAGCACAGACACCGGCAATGCAAGTTTTCCTCCGTATCTCAGCCACACCTCAGCAGCAGGGCTAAGCAGCGAGCTCAGTCTCCGTGGCACAGTATTTAGCCTCTCCCAAGACTCCCACTGAGGGAGCCTGGCAGGATGGTGGATTTTTTTTTTTTTTTTTACCATCGACACTTGTCTCCAAGGCAGAAGCCGAGAAGCATCTAATTCAATGTACATAGTGGCTACTGAAAAGTCAGCAAGTTGCTTAAGACTGGATTTAAGTGCTTTGCTCTACTGAGGTCTTATCCAGGGGGTACAAATTTCAAAAGCACTTTTATGATGTAGGAGCTTAAGTCTCATTAAGTGAATTAGGCTCCCCAGGCACTTAAATGCTTCTGAATTTTTTACCCAGCATGTTTCATACTCCCATCAATTAGCAGTACAGTAGTGCCCTGACCCACCAAGCAGCAACTGGGACCCCTTGGGATAGGGGCTGTATCGACTCTGCCCCAAAGAGCTTACGCTGTTCTCCTACTTGCATAACAGCAGCCTTGGGCACAGTCAAAGTTAAAATCCAGATTCAAATGCTGCCCCTCTCCCTCCCCCCCGCAAGGCTGGGGCTGTTTAGACCCAAGTTTTTGATTCAGGCCAGTCTGTAGCCTTACGAGTTTCAGGAGAAGACAACTGCTCGAAAAGGTTAATACAAATGCTATACTCAGAATTCATTTATCATACTGTGGTTCAAATGCCAGGCAAGCAGTCCCTGTACTGGTAACTGATGCAGTTACCACATCATCTGATTATCTGCCCTTTACAAATGCAGTTGTGTCTTCTATGCATTTATACCCTCTGTCGGTGTGTTTTCCTCGCAGTAGAACCGGATTTCCTGCTGCTGTTTGGCAGATGAATAAAGATTTTGGAGCTATCCATGTCGGGTGAACTTCACCCCTGTGCAAAGGCTCGGCGCAAGGCCTAGTCACTGCTGAAGCCAGAATTAAAAGCTTGCCCTTTGTGCCTGAAGTAATGTAGACAGATGAATAAAATACATACCAGCTTCATCACGAAGCAGTTTGTAACCTTGGCATTGTAACTGTTGATTATCTGTTCAATCTCCTGGGTAGTGGGAGCTTTGGGTTTTTCTTCTGCTGCTGCTTTTGTTACATTCTGAAACGAGAAATAAATAATAGTAAATACCTTTGGTGTGTACGTCACTTTGCAGCCAGGAGCACCATACGAATGGTATGCTCTTCATGGCCCTGCCTTTGCCAGGATATACATTTAAGCACACAGACAGACATAATCCCTGATCCTGAGAGTTTACAATAAGAACGATGGAGAAGATAATGCCAGTTATTGCTATTATTTGTATGGGCGATTTGGGCCTCTAGGCCCTACAAGGATCAATGCCCCACTGTGCACAGAGAACAAAAAACTAGTCCCTTCCCCAAAGAGCTTACAATTTAAGTAAGATGGTTAACTACAACCTCCATCAGTTGTCTGCTCACCCTCCATCCACTGGTAGCTGCACTTCAGAGGTGTGTGGAGCGACGTCTCCTTCATTATTAAGACTGTTTCGTAATATTTATATTAGAAGCCCCAGCCATGCAGCTACTTTTGGAAAAGGACACACACCGTGAACCAGCCCCCTCCACACTAGTGTAGAAAGGGGAAAAGTTTGGCCAAAGACGCATAGGCCACCTCTTAGCACCCCCAGCACCATTTTCATGGAAAGTTTTGTGGCTTCCTTAATTTCCCTGTAGAGTGAAGAGGGTTTTGCCCAGAGGACACTTCATTAAACCTGCATGGAATTTTCTCAGATGGATGAAGGTGTTTGGTTGGTTTTTTTTTTTTACCCTACTGGAATTCAAACATATGGTTCCAAGGAATCTAAGTGATTTCAAACCTGATGCTTAAAGCTCTAAGCTGTCCTTTCTGGAAAGCTGAGAAATGCCACATGGGTCTATGACGCAGGAGGGTCTGAGATTTGAGCAGTCGGTAATGACAGGCAGATGGCTGTTATCATTCCAGAGTTCTTCAGTGAGGTATTGATCCAAAGTGCTCTGGGTGGTTTAATGACTAGCAGACAATGGCTCCTACAGGCTGATCAATGGGAAGGCCAATGGGAAGGTAAAGGAACAGACAAGCCACAAAAGGCTTTTGCTCTCTCAGGGTCTTGGATGCTGCTGCACCACACGCTTCATCTGTAAAACATCTCCATCTGCCACGTGCCAGTGGCCTGTAGTATCTGCATAGCAATGGGTGTTCCATTCAGTGGGCTTGTCACGTTTGCTCCTTGCAATCTTGGTTCTGGCAGTCCCCGAGAGAAATATTTCTGGGATAAGTGCTGCTGATGGCAAGGAAAAAGAAAGAATGGCTTTCCTGAGCCACTTCCCACAGCACTGCAGAAAGACGTTCACGCACTCCAAGCATCAAGCAGCAGAGATTGTAGCGTTTTGTGGAGGGGTCAAAAGAGGGGCTGGGAAACAAGCGGCACAAAATAAAAATCTCACCAAGGATGGGAAAGGTTTTCGCCCTGGAACAGACCTTTGAGCCAGCAGTCAACACAGGAGACCCGAGGGAGTTGCATTTATTATGGCAATTTGTGGGCAGCATCCCTAATGCTTGCAATAAGCCTTCGTGCAATTAATGAAACACACAAAGTCCAAACTCCCTGAGAACTTGGGCATCTTTGTTGAGCATGACTAGAACAAAAGATCATCATGTAGCCAGCTGACTGCTCACTGCCATTTTGTATGGGGAAGTAAGGGCACTCTCCCCCTTCTATAAACACCAGTCACAGGAGGATCTGAGAGTGCCCAGAACACCGGCAGTGAGCTTCACCTCACCCCCTACGAAGTGAGTAACTATCATAGCTTCCCCATCTGTAAAATGGAGGGAGATCACATGGAGTCAGCTGCAGAATCCCCGGCTTTAGCCACTCTACTGGCCGTTGCTGCCTCAGTGGAAGGTACCACTTCATCCACCTGCAGCTGCCAAATATTTTTATGCCCCTCACAGCAACGGGAAGCCACTGACTATTTTTCATGGCTCTGCTAGCATTTCCCCCTGTGCAGAATAGCCAGGATGCTGCTGACAGCAGGTTCATCCAGGCAGAATTTGCAGTTGAATCTACATTTGGTTCTTCCTCCAAGCAGTGCATTTCTAGCAGCTTCGGAGGAGTTTGTAATTACTTCAAAGCGAAAAAGCGATCACTCCACATAAACAGCGAGCAATCTGCATGGCTAATCCATAACACGCGCCTGCCCAAAGGCCTTAGTAATCCAATCAACGCATTCACAGCCTGCCTTGGAAGTCACTCTGTTCTCTATTGTGGGGGAAACAGAGGGACAAGGGCTCTTTTCTCTCCCTTTCACAGGTTTTGGTGCATTTCCTTTTGGGAGGCTAAATTACAGTCAGATGCAGTGTGTAGGAGGGGTTCACACGCAGGTCTTTTACGTAAGCGTATTCATTAGTCATTAGAGACAATCGGAAAAACACCAGTAATCAAGTCCCATCACAGACAGAGACAGCTCTGGGGAGCGAACGAAAAACATAACTGGGCATTGAGAGGATTTAAGGAAAAGGGCAATAAACACTTCTGGATACGCCTGCCATGAGGGGCTTATTAAGGAGGCTCATTAAAACCCATGATAGCCTATTTGAACTGTGCTCCCAGTGACGTCAACAGGAATCGCGGCATCTTTGAAACTCGGGCCATGGATGTATCCAAAACAGGCTTAAATTCAAGGGGGTGCTGCCAACTACTTCTAGACCCAATATACGGAGCCAGATCCTCAGCTGGCGTAAATCGATGTAGCTCCGTTTAAGTCAATGCGGCGATGCTGATTTACACCAGCCAAGGATCTTGACCGTAGAGTCTGTAAAAATCAGCTAACTCCATTAAGGGAGGAAGGGGGATCTGTGGGTTTTCTTGTTGCCACCTGCTCCTCTGCAGTGGTCCTGCCACCGAGCTTGGCAGGCAGGGAGAGGAGCCACGGGAAAGTTGCTATATGGGTCCTGATTCCACCAGAATCCAGGGTTCTCTGAGCAGCATGAAGCCTGCTTCTGTGCCCTACGAACCCCATCAGAGGGATCACGAGGATAGTGCCAAGCAGGGGTCAGTGCCAGTATGGGAGACAAGTGCTTTTGGGAGGTGTGCAGGAGTCAGGAAGGCTGCCTCCCCATACAACAGGTTCTGCAAGGTTTGGAGCAACTTTCCCTGTGCCCCTCAACTACCATGGGTTCTATCCCCTGGCACAGCACCTCCTCCTTGGCAGAAAACAGCATCAGGGAAAGCAAAACCAGGGAGAGATTACAAATAAATCCTCCCCTTCCACAGGTTTACATGCAGGAGGGAAGCAAATGACTCAGGTATATTCTTGTCTGTGAAACTTCAGGTGAAAATCAGACTCCGCTCACTGGAATTGGAAATCTGTTGCAGCCTAGAAATTCATTAAAAGCCAAGTCTCCTCTTGCTATCAAAGAGTTTACATATAGTTAAATTAGAATGGTCTATGAACTGCAAACTTTAGGCAGATTTAGGAGAACCCAGGGATTAAACAGTAATTAACTGACAACCACAAATGCTCTGATATTTGGGGGAACCTAAACAGAGCTCGCAAGACTGGCCCAATGAAATCAAAATCTCCAGAGAGAGTTCCAGGAAAAGTATTAGCATGTGATGGCGCTGGCAGAACTGACTGGGCTAAGCTGGAGCAGATCCCATAGCCCGATACACATGGTTGTTCATGCTTCTGGTTCAATGCGGTGAAGCGGTGATCACAGAAGATGTTTTGGAAAAAGATCTGTTCTAGTTCAGACAGGAATAATCCCGGGGAAGGTCTATGGCCTGAGTCACGCAGGAGGTCAGACTGGGTGATCACAGGGGTCCCTGTGGATTCTAGGACAGTGGCCCTAATGTCCTCCAAGGAGGAAACAGAACAGTGCTGGTCCTAAGTGCTTCCTTTATTGACTCAGGACTCTGATCCCACAAGTGAATCCAGACAGCCGGGTCTTTGTGCTCCCATGGATCCACGCGCAGGATCAGCGCCATACAGAGGTGCAGAAAGGAATGGAGACAGCAATGAACGCAGGGCTCAGGGCAGGCCATTTCCAGGACAAGGAGATGCACCAACATTCTTCCTCAGACGGATTATAGTCTAGTCTCTGACCAAGCCAGGGGCGGGGAGGGGGGACGGCGTTATTGAAGTCTGCATCAGCTTCGCAGCAAGGTCAGTGGATGTGTTTGGAGAGGTCCAGGGAATGGTCTATTCCTGGCTCCTTGTACTGACTTTGAAGATGTTACTGATGAATCACAGCCGCCTGACTTGCCAGTGCCCACAGACTGAAGCAGCAGCGAGGTAATGAAACATCCTCTGGGCCGCGGTAAGTCAATTCAGCTTGACAGGCACATCCAGGGCATTGCTGCCGCTTACTTCTAATTCATGGAAGCAGGTCACACAACAGGGTACCACATCCTCCCCAGAAACATCTCAGGACCTCTCTCAGCCTCACCTCTCTCTGCATGTCCCGGGGGCCTCCGATCAGTTTGGTGGGAGAACAGAGAGGAGAAGATCACACTGCAGACGAGGAAAGGCCCTTAGAATCTCCCAGCCCTCCTATACGCACCCACGCTGCCAGGGCTCCAGGTAAAGAGGCAGGAAGCACCTTGAAAAGGCTCATTCTCCCCTCCCCCCAGCCATGCTCCCTGTGGAAACCCACAGCCGAGAGGGGGGCTACACAGAAACAACAAGAGAGTCCAGTCAGTAGAATGGCGGAGGTTTCCGCACACCGGCAGCCTAACTGTGGCAAAGTTTTTTGTTGGCCTCACAGCAAAGGAGAGTTTTAATCCTTCTACATCAAATGTTGCCTGGGCTCCAGCTGTCGTTAATCCCCCACCTCGCTATCAGGACTCATTCCCCCTGCTTTGGAAAGCGTCTCTCCAAGGCCCCTGCCTTTAACATACGCTGGGCATTAAATGATTGATGGGGGTGGGGGGGAAATGCCTCTGAGAAAATTAAGGGGGTGAGTTACCAGGAGAAAATGAACCAGCTAGAGATAAACTTACCCTGACAGGATCATTGGGAAAAAAAAGCCAGCCGTGCCCTCTGAAGGATGCAAGTGTGCGATTTTTCATGATTAAAGATTCTGATGCTCCCCTGAGT